TTGGATTCGATGCTTATTATCATACTAGGAATCTTCAAGTACTGCCTAAAGGAATTAGATATAAAAATTTCTTTAGTGCATATACTGAAATTCCTAATCTCTTTGAAATCCAACAAGCACCACCAGGATATGGAGATATTCGAGATCATCTCCTCAAGTTTTGCGCTGATAGTCATCAACAGTTCTCTCATCCATTTCCATTATGGAAAAATCAAGAGTTTTTTTTTTTATAAAACTCCTCTTCAAGAAAAATGAAGATATCAGTCCTACAAAAGCCTCTCATCCAGGAATGAATCCAGAAGATCTCAAGCTCGCTAAAGAAGAATGTGTTGCCCTACTCAAGCAAGGCCTTAATGAACTAACAAAATCTAATTAGGCTTGCCAGGCATTCTATGTTGAAAAAAGATCAGAAATCAAAAGAGGAAAGAAAAGGTTAGTCATTGATTATAAGCCTCTTAATATTTTCCTTTAAGATGACAAATTCCCTTTACCAAAGCCCAATTCATTTACAGTCCATCTTAGAGATGTAAAAATATTTTCTAAGTTTGACCTCAAAGCAGGATTTTGGCAATTGGGTATCCACCCAGAAGATCAACCCAAAATTGCTTTCTATATTCCAAATGCTCAGTACCAATGGACTGTCATGCCATTTGGGCTTAAAGTCGCCCCATCACTGTTCCAAAAGGCCATGACTAGAATCTTTTAACCTATGCTTGATAACCTCCTCATTTACATTGATGACCTTTTACTTTTCAAAAGATGAGGATTCCCATAAACTTTTATTGACCCAGTTCGGGGAAATAATTGAAAAATATGGGATTATATTGTTGGCAAAGAAAGGAGAAATAGGTGTCAAAAGCATAGAGTTTCTTGGAATGCATTTTGAAAATGGTTAGTGTTATCCTAGACCACACATTGCAGAAGAACTGCTCGAATTCCCAGACGATAATCTGACAACAAAGCAAATCCAACAATTTCTGGGGATTATTAATTATCTTCGGGATTTTATCCCTCATGTGTCAAATCATACTAGACAGCTATCCAAACTTCTCAAAAAGAATCCTTCCGCGTGGGGGACAGAGCAGACCTCAGCTGTCAAGACCCTCAAAAGAATTGCACAACAACTACCTCCTTTAAAGATTCCTGACAGGGGGCTATGAATCCTCCAAATTGATGCCAGTGATGACTTTTGGGGAGCTGTCTTAATTGAAGAGATAGATGGAAAGAGATTTTACTGTGGACATGCAAGCGAACAATTCAAGGAGTCAAAAAAGCATTATCATGCTACCTACAAGGAGATCCTTGCAGTTAAAAGAGGAATCGAGAAGTTCAGTTTTCATCTCAATGCTTATCAATTCAGAGTAGAAATGGACAATACGTCTTTTCCCAGAATGCTTAATCCCAAGGGGAAGACTTTGCCAAATAGCCAGTTACTCTGATGGAAAGACTGGTTCTCTCGCTATGAATTCACCGTTCATCATCTCAAAGGTCACCAGAACATCATAGCAAATTTCCTCACAAGACCTCAGAAAGTTTCCCAGCCTCCGAAACTCCTGTCACTCTCCAGACATCAACCTCTCTTCATCCTAACCATCTCTAAACCAAAAATGCCTCACAGAATGAGAGCCACCATTTTCCCTCCTGGATCCCATCCTGAATCTCCAGCAGATGTCCAAAACCTTGCCAGAAGCACTATGTTCTACTGGCTCCATCGTGTTTTTGTAGACACCGAAATTCACCCTTATCCTCAGCATTTTGATGCCGATGCTCCTTACCTCACTGTTCCCATCATCAAGGGACCCATACCAGAGAAACTTTTATGGTACATCTGGTCAGTCTCAGCCAATTATACCTGTACCATAGCCTTCTCAGTTGTAGTCGTCCATGATCACCTGAATGACTTCAGAAATGAAAATTCTCCTATTACCACACTCTTTGAGATGCTTGCTCCTCTTCCCTACTGGAGAGGAAAACTTTGGAAAATTCTCAAGGAACATAATATCTGGGACTTACCAACTCCCAAACAAAAAAGATTTTTCTGTCTGTATATCTTTTTCAGGAACTATGGTATAAGTGCTGACCAGAGGCTCTACACAGACAACCGTATGATCCTTCAAGTCACCACCCCCTCATGGCCCAGAAAGGAAACATTATTAATGGAAAAAATTGGGAAGACATTAACTGCACTTAACCAGCCTGATACGGGAGAAGACACTTCATGTCTATCTCTTGGACCTTTCCCTCCAAGCTCACTGTCAGCTAGCAGCACAACACTTGAAGAATTCCAGAGAGATTTCATCATGAGTGCTGTCAGACCTCCACCAAATAGGTTACAGGTCCCTCCACAAATAGAAGCCTCTAAAGACCCTTATGACGAAGATTCACAGATTCAATTCACTCAGCCTGAAGAACTCTATCTCCCTCAGCCAAGTTTCCAATCACAACTCACATTCCTTGCAGGAGAATCCCAAGATCCTAACCAAGATGACCCTGATCCAGAGCTCGAAGACTACTACTGCACAAAGAGACACTATGACTCAGATGACCCTGACCTAGAAGGCATCATGAACCTATCCCCTAGCCATGAGCCTATCTATAAAGACTAGGGAACATTATCATCAGAAAATCTCCTTTTGGGATACTCTGAAGATAAAGCGGGACCCGCCAGAATCCTACTTTATGTCTCCATCTACTTTTACTTTATTAAAGTAGTTTGTCCTGTAGTCTATTTTGTCCTCTTGTAATAAATGGAATGGTTGTCATTATTAGGTATCATTATGAGAGTAGTTAGTAGTTGTGAGTAGTTGTAATTATTAAATGTCAGGTCATAATGACGTCTACTAGTACATCTACCTGTCATAATAATGTGTACTATTAAGACTTTGTCATGTAGTGGTCCCGAGCCTCTATATAAACCCCACTCTGCCATCAGTTAGAGGCAGAAGGAGTTGTATCGACTTCATTGTATAATACTAGTGTGCTTTTCTTATGAGTTGTCTCTAAATTTCTCTATTCTTCTGAAAGCTTCACTTATAATGTCTTTCTTCTGTCGCTAGAGATTCTAAGTATGCTCTGCACTTGACTCTTTAAGAGGATCCTGTGCATCAGAAAATAGAATTTGACCACGATCCATGAAGGAGTGTTTAGTGACAATCTTTCCAGTTATCCTAGATCTAGTATTCAAAGCTAAGAGTCCTAACGTGACCCGTTGATGAGTTGAGAATGAGTAGCCTTACTTGGACTAAAGCCTTGGATATTAGACTGTGTTAGCTTGGTCCAGTTTAGCTAACACCCCCTCAGTCAATATCCATCCGAAGACCCCATGTTAAAAAAGTCTTGCCATATATACTACTTTACTAATCCCAGTCAATATCCATCCGCCTCCTCACTTCCATCTCATTCGTTCATCTCTCTCCACATCCATGTGGCTCTGCATCTGGTCTTCATCTCTCTACTTCCGCTGGCATTGGCATGTCCTAATTGTAACTCCACTTGTGGAAACATCACAATCTCTTCTCCCTTCAGAATGAACTAACCCTGTTGCTACCACAACAAGTGGTTTGAGATCAGTTGCTCGCGAGACTCTGCCGGAATTCCCAAGCCATATCTCAAGAAGATTCGACTGGAGGTCACCAAATTCAATTACAGCTCCTGCAAGGTCTGGGTCAACAACCCCATATACGCATGGCACTGCAAAATCCCCGCCACACATGGCGGTGCAATTGTAAGTCTTCCCCTAAAAATGACTGCCAGCCCTTTTGCTTACTCTCAGAAGGACAACGTCGTTCTGGGTGTGGGTTGCGACACACAAGCTCTTCTTCTGCAAGGCTCCCATGATGATGTTTTTGGCAGCTGCGTCTGTAATGCTTGATTCTGTTCTGAGGGAAAGCAGCATGAGAACACTGAAGAAGGAGAAGAGCTCAGTGAAAATTGAGGGGAAAATGGGAGGGGTAAATATGAGAGTTGAAAATTTTAATGCTCATTTAATGCAATCCAACAGTTGATCGCATTTTCAAACAATCTAGAAGTCACTTTGTTGAGCGTTGGAAATTGGAACTGAATGCCATTTTTCTTTATAAGTCAGTTAGTGTAAAAACCCATTCAAATAACCAATTATATCTAAATAAGCTACAAACTTCAGTTTCATATTTCTCCATGTGTTTTTACTATCACAAACGGCAATCCAAACGTGGCCTGCAAGGTTGAGGGCATGTTGGCACGTTTCATCGCCGGACACCTTTGTTTCTCCGGAGTTGCCAAATTCATCAAACTTTAATTATAAAATACCTCTAATCCATTTAATTTTATAACATAGTTCCTGTTAAATAGGATTTAAATAGAGACATTTGTTTAATAATAGTAGCCATTGCATTTATTGTCAATAAATTTTACAAGCATAGCAAATATTTAAAAAGCTACTACCTCTGCTCCTTAATATAAGAGCTAGTTTGACTTTTAATTTAGTTCTCAATATAAAACATTAAGACCCCAATTCATTTGTATTTTATATTTATCTATTTTTTAAAAATTGTCCTAGTAATAGTTACACACGTTGAATATTCCATTAAATGGTAGTTTTAACTAATACATATGATTAGCAGGAGTATTATAGGAAGGAGAGTACTTATTTATTACAAATAACTAATTTAACTAATTTTTTTAATCTTTTCAAATTAGTAAGTTAATATTAAGGACTAGAGGTAGTATATCGCAATTTGGATTAGGTTAATATTTTAATTTAACTTTATATATCCGTGCGATATTTTTCTTCTCTTTTTTTTTTTTGCGCGATGTGCGATATTTTTCCTCATACCTTGAGTTCTAAAGACAAGTCAGGGACCCCCCCGGGAGAGATTATTCTTATCATAACAAGTTTTTGAATTTTTTTCCCATAAAAATTATACTGATTGACTTTTTTCCCCACTAATTTCAATCTACAAAAATGAATTCAAATAAAAAACCCTTTTGGACCTAGATCGTTCACGCGGGGATGAATCGCATGGGAGTTGACTAGAGCTTTCAGACTAAGCATTTATTGACCCACAACAGCCACCCCTAATCGTTCCCTCAATTTCTGTTGGGAATTTTTTCTAGTTTTATCACTCCAGTATAGTTTGAGATAGCAAGAGCTGTTGAATGGGGGATTCACTGGAAAGGCTGGGGTCGGAGGCCGTGGCATCGATCGGGTTAGACTCGAGCATGAAGGCTGACCTTTGCATGGAAATCGACCCTCCGTTCCAGGAAAATGTTGCCACCGCCGACGATTGGAGGAAAGCCCTGAACAGAGTCGTACCTGCTGTCGTTGTTTTGCGAACTACGGCTTGCCGGGCTTTTGATACTGAGTCGGCCGGTGTCGGCTCCGCCACTGGCTTTGTTGTTGACAAGCGTCGGGGAATCATTCTTACTAATCGTCATGTTGTGAAGCCTGGTACTTACTCTCAATTCTTTGTTCCGATCAGGAAAAAAAAACCACTGAAACAGTGGGCTTCAGGCCAACATGCCTTGGATGAACTATCTTTCAGTTATTTGAAGTGAGAATCACGGTTATTATTTCCCAACAGTTTCCCAAACATTCCTTAAACAGGGTTTCTGGATGCAATTTTATTTGAAGGCAAAAATGCGCACCCAATTTAAATGAGATTCGTATTTTGAAAGTAATGTTTCTGGTAATTATTTGCTTACCTGTCTTCGTGTTCAGATGGATCATGGGTGAAATGCGAGGTGGTTCTTCCTCCTCCTCCTCCTCCTCTTCTGTTTTCTTTTCTGCTCTTTTTTCCTTCTGGAAACCACGTAATTCTTCTAGGTTGAGAAATGTTGTTTAAAATCAATATTCCATATTTCACTGTCATATTATGGCTAACCCTTATCTGATGACACGTTATTGAATGTCAAAAGAAAGCAGATTTAATTTTCTGGGTTTCTCTATCTCATTATGTCATTTCAAGGTTTTCTTGTCTAAAATCTGTTAAAATTCTATTCTCCTCCTGTCTTAAATGTGCAGGACCCGTAGTAGCAGAGGCTATGTTTTTGAACCGTGAAGAAGTTCCTGTGCATCCGATCTACAGAGATCCAGTGAGTGGACTTCTGTTTTTAGCTTTAATTATCAAAGAGCTGTCAAAAACCATCAAATTGATTGTTAGCCGGCAGAGTTGTTTGTTTCACTTGATTAGAATTTCAGTCATGCCTCATGCATGCTTTTCCGTACGAGGAGAAGCTTCATTGCATTGTTGCCTGCATCATGTTGCAGAAAGGCAGATTTTATATATGTATTTGTAAACATCTATTGACACCAACCTTTTCTAGGGTTCAAAGTATTTTCGTTTTGTTATATTAATATAAGTTAGTCAAAATTGATTGGAAATATTCCCGCTTTGTGTGTTCATGTGTGTGTTGATAAAAGCATCGTTCATGTGCCATTATTCAGGTCCACGATTTTGGGTTCTTTCGCTATGACCCTGGTGCTATACAGTTTTTGAACTATGAGGAGATACCTCTTGCTCCAGAGGCGGCTTGTGTTGGACTAGAGATTAGAGTTGTTGGTAATGATAGTGGTGAGAAGGTATTAGCATGATTTTCACCTCTCTATTGTCATCCCTTGGTTTCTTGTTACCCGGTTAACGATTTGATAGACAAGCTTGTACCATTGGACTTTTTAAATATCATTCTTCTTTTTCTTCTTCTTTGGTTTTTCAATCTTAATTTGCTGCTGAAGGAAAATGGCTATTTGGTATGTCTATATTATATCTATCATCCATGGTCCCAATGGTCTATGTTAATTGATCAAGTCGATGGAACTGGCATAATGATACTGTAACTTAGGCCTGACTAGTTCTTGTTTCATTTCATTCACCAGTGTTCAAGATAATGCTAATGATATTTCTTATTCAGCTGTCATTTTTTCAAATGTTTTTTGCCAATGCTTTCTAGAATCAAGCGAATTGAACATTACTTTATAGTTACGGACATATGGGTTAAAGTGATGCTCATATAAAGGAAATATGTCGATCTCTCTTTTGCTGGAGGGTTTTTGTAATTAGTTCCAATCATAATAAAGTTCCACTAGCATGTTTTGGTTAAGAGATGTGGTCGACGTAAAACGTGTCCCATTGGTTATAGAATGCTTGTTTTGGCATTTCCATGTGTTTCAAAGCATGCAAACACCAAAGCTTCAATGGGGATGAGGTGGGGGAATGCACGTGATCTCCCACCACCAGTACAAACATGCATATAATCTCTCTCTGGTCAATATATAAAGCATGTATGTATGTGCATGTGTGTGAGCGTGTCTGGACACACAAGCATCAACTGCTTTCCATTGGCATAACACTAAAAGTTGTACGTAATTCTTTCACGTCATGCTAATTAATTGGTCACAATTTCCTGGTTGATTTATGAGTTTAACTGCAATTTTCTCCATGTTTTGACCAAGGATTATGACTTTTATTTATTTTTTATTTAACATTTATTCTGAATTTTAACTTTAGGTCTCCATTTTGGCTGGTACACTCGCTCGTTTGGACAGGGATGCTCCTCACTATAAAAAGTATGTAATAGATATGTGTTGTTACTTGCATGCTAGTAGTCTCATGAAAGGATAAAACTCATGCTATATTTTGATGCAGGGATGGGTATAATGACTTCAATACTTTCTATATGCAAGTAAGTGAGAACAGATTTTAACTTATGGGTTTGGTCATCTTGATTTCTTTTCTTTTCTTCAAAATTTAATACCTGTAATGGCTTTCTAGGGTGTATATGGCTGGTCCTGTCTTCGTAATTCTTCCTGTTAGGTTTCCTATTGTATATTCAATTACTATTAAATCGCAAAATAATTTTTTTTTTTTTTTTGAAAAAAAGAAGAGAAATGGAGTTCATAGCTGAAAATTTTAAATAGAAGAAAGAGGTGTTGGGGGAAAGGAGTGTCAACATGCAGTTGTTTGGCTAAGTGGTTTAGAACTAGTATTACACGTTGTCATTGGTATGTGTGTAATTGTGCATCTTCTGTCTTGTTGATTGCAATCTTATCTATTTCCAGGCTGCATCCGGCACGAAGGGAGGATCAAGTGGCTCCCCAGTTATAGATTGGCAAGGCAGAGCAGTTGCCTTGAATGCTGGGTGCAAAACATCAAGTGCATCAGCATTTTTTTTCCCTCTAGAGCGGGTAAGCTTTTCCTCTATATTTGCTTAGTTTAATACTTGTCCGTTGCTTCCTATTTTTCACCAATCTTCTAGTGAGGAGCAACTAATTCTGTTTATGAAAGGTGAAATGGATATGATGATTTAATTTTCAGGTTGTGAGAGCTCTAAGGTTTCTTCAAAAGGGTAGTGATGCTAGTTTAGGTAAATGGAAGGCAGTTTCTATACCTCGTGGTACCCTCCAGGTTTGTTCTTTGCAAACCCTTCCTCGCTTTTTGGCTGTTGAAGTCAATCTGTTCATTACATTGAGGCAGAAAATGTCCGTAAACTGCATTATTGAAGTACTTAAACCTACTGCATTTCAAATTTACTATGTTGCAAACATGGGCCAGTGTCATGGCACAAAATGCTTGTTGAATGTGATTTCATGCTTACCCTTTTCTCATCTTTACTGGTGGCAATGTCTTATTATGATTTTAAATTTGTTATAATTAAAGCTTCCTCTCCATTAACAAGGTGTAATTGTGGTGGAAAATAGAAAGTGATAGACTGAGAATCAGGATCAGCGAGATAGATATATGTTGCTCGAGAAATTTCCTTATAGTTTGTTCCTCATCGTTGTGATATTTTACCCATGTAGATTTGCAGCTAAACTGTCCTTCAAACAGATGCTTCTTTTTTATCTTTGCAATCAAGCGTTGTGTAAATTTACTTGTTAAAATTGATAATACAGGTGACATTTCTCCATAAAGGATTTGATGAGATTCGTCGTCTTGGCCTCCAAAGTGAGACAGAGCAGGTTTTTGTTGTTCTATGCTCTCACTTGTGTTATGTTTCCTGGGCAACATTTTTGTTTATACGCCGTGTGTTGTTCATACTTCCTTTGCTTGTTTAGATAGTGCGGCATGCTTCTCCAGCAGGTGAAACTGGAATGCTTGTTGTGGATTCTGTGGTAAGCACTTGTCATTTAAAACCGTGGTGATTTATTCATTGGTATTTCCTTTCAATTTTAATGGCTTTAACCCTTGACTTGCTTAGGTGCCAGGTGCCCAGGTTATATAAGCATTTGAACCTGGTGATGTGCTTGTTCGTGTCAATGGCCAAGTAAGTT